TGTATGCTAAGCTAACCTTAGCGTGCTGATTGACGCTGTCACATCCTGAGTACTTTGAATAGAAATTAGTTGAGGCATCAGAGCGATACATAAAGAAAAAGGTGCAAAGAGCACATTTCATTAGTGATTTCTGTTGTAAAAGAATAACTGCCTGCAGCTGCTCAATATTAACTGCATTTATCTTTTCCTTAAATATTTCAACTCCACTGAACGTTTTCTCAACCTCTTATTCCTGATTTTGATCCTTTCACACAGTATTTTCAGAAATGTTCTACCTTCTTTACATTCATCTCACAGCTTTGAACACTGCCAGCAGCAAAAAAAACACAAAGAAAGCAGCAACTCAGAATGAAATTATAGAATCACATTCAGAGAAAAATATCATTTCCATGGTCTTTACTAGAACTGCTTCCATCGGTGGGGAAAACTAATCAGAACTCAGTCTGTTCGTCTTACAGCTGATCCATTATCGACAAGCTGGAACCAAATTAGAACCAAACTGGATCAAAGTGTTCGTAGTTCATTCGGCTCCTCCACTGCTTCCAGAAAAAAACAAAAAGCTGCCAAGGTCTGAAAAACGCCGCGTACACGTTCGATTTCACCCCACTGATGATTTGAGTCACTTCGACTTGAAGACTGCATCCCAGTCCAGAGGTTCAGATCCAGCTATGTCGCTCTTTGGGATGGACGGGAAGAAGGACTGCATCTTCTGTCTGAACTCTGGGAGCTGAAACATTATACCAACAAAAAAGAAAAAACAGATAAAGACAAGAATGAGAACTTTTCATATTCTTTCAGTAAATTGAATATTTGATAACATTAAAATGTGCAATTATTTTATTTTTCTAAATAATTTAATTTTACAACTTGATTTTCTTTATTAAGAAAGTTTTAATTAGTTTAGTTTTACGAAGTCTAACTTTCTCATCTACATCAACTACTCTCTCTTTAGACCTTTTTTTTACTTTAACAACTAAAATTCGTTCTCAGAATTTTAGTTCAACACTTTCTCTGAAAATGTTTCAAACATTATGTCCAAATGTAATTTTATGGTAGGATTGTAGAAATTATTCATAAATAAATTGCCTTTATTTCACAAAATTTATTGTTCTTCCTCTCAGAGACTATAATCCTTAAAGAAAAGTTCAGGTAAAGAGGTGATAAAATCCTGACTGAATAAAGCTCATTATTATGAAATAAACATAAAAGTCAGCACTGAGCCATTTGCAGGTACATACGCTGTGAACGCCGAGACTTTCCACACGCTGAAGCCGAGCAGGCCTACTCCACACCAGGCGAACAGCGAGCCCCACCCCAGAGCTCTGAGGGCCAGAGATGCGCCGCTCTCCGGGACTGCCGCCGTCGCTGTGACGCCCTGAACAGGAAACAAGCAGGGAAAAAATCTGACATCAGGTTTTACAGCTGCATTTGGTCTTACGGGAATTCTCCAAAAGTTGATTCTGTTCATCTGGACGTAGCGTTTTCAGTGGGAGAAACGTTTCCCCGTTTCTTACGGGAATTATTTCTCCCAGAAGCTGTGAAATTACTTTTACAGCCAAAAACATGAGGGAATTCAACAAATAGCTGAAACGGACGTTAAAGTGTCAGCTGCATGTCCGGTTGGTGGAGCAGTGTGAGGTCATCCTCTCTGTCACATGATGGAGGAATCTGAACTGTGCTGAACCAAACTGGAACAATTCCAACAAACATGAACCCCTTCCAGCAGCTCACAGATAAATATCACAGAATCACAGAAATGTTTTTGCAGCATGTCCTGGACTGCGTCAGCTCTCGGTCTGTGCCGTCCCTCCACATCACTTCCTGCTGCATCCTGAAGCCCGGTTCGATCACATGTGGTCCGAGCGTGGCAATCTCTCTCGTTTTAACGCATCAGCTCCCGGTGCTCCCTCTCGCCGAGCTCATCCGCTTCACACCTCATGATGATCGCTTGGACGGCTCCAGCTCTAAAAGAAAAACATCTCTGTAGCTCCTCGAGGCTAACTGGCCTAGCAGTAGGAGTGGCAGCACGATCTCCTCGTTAAGCTTCTCTGGGGCCAAGAGTGCAATGTAAAGCAAAAAAAAAAACTATAGTAGATCTGTAAAACCTGTCTTTATAGAAAAATAAGTAACTTTCACCCTCAGAGTGAGCAAAAAAAATCCAAGAGCTGCTGCTGAAGGTCGCCAATCAGACAAACCTGAAGGGTTCTCGAAAACTAACTTCAGCTCTTCACTCAGGTGTTTTGGTGACTCATGGCTAACAGGTGCTTGAAGCTCTGAGTGACATCAGGTTAACTCCTTCAGTGTGAAAATGACCCATACAATCGCCATGAACTGCAATAGTGTTACACCTTTATCTCGTTTTAATGGATGCTCCAGTGCTCGGGTTCTCCAATTCTTCAACAGTTTGGTGCTGGTGGCCATTATTTCCTCAGAAGGAAATCTGAGGAAAAAATAAAAGCTCATCTGTGCAAGATGTTCTCTACACACCTCCATCACCTCCCTGAAGGATTTACAACCTCCATGTTTGAGGACAGGAAGCACAGCTGACGTCTTTCCTTTCAGCTGAAACGGAGTAAAAGCTGCACTTTAATGACCTCAACCCTCTAATCAGATTTTACATTTCCTAACTGAAGCTCAGCCTGAGGCTTCGATTCAGAGACGACCACAAAGACGAGTCTGTGACTGAAATAGATCCGTCTGTGCTTCCACGCCAAATTTATCTCACATGTGCGTCAGCATTAATCGGATCCCGCCAGTCGCCAATAACTCAAACAGCTGTGGCCGCCACGCGCCAGGACTTCACGGAAAGTCTATTTTCAGGTCGAGACGAGTCAGGAGGGAAGGCGGACGTCATCGCAGATGTGCGGACAGCCATCGATTGTCTTCAGGAGGCTGAGGCCATAAACAAGCTGCTGTTAGCATCGGTAGCTTCTCACGCAAGCACCGCTGAAACCTCCGAATGGATGGGAAAAGGACCGGAAGTAGTGTGTGCCATCCATCAGATCCTCAGTCCAGCTACATTTTCAAGTTAAAATATCCACAATTTTTAAGTTTCCAAAGACTGATGATTAGCCTCAGCTCAATAAAATTATAAATACTGCCGGCGCTGCCTCCAAGTAGACACACCTACGGCATTAATTTCAAAATCCTGCATCATCGTATCGCATTCACAACATTTTAGGGAAACTTGACGTCTGACCTTGAGGTCGATGTCGAGGTCACTGAGATTTGAAATTTAGTAGGTAACAATTTGAAGAATCTACGTCGCCTCGTTTTTCACAAACTTTGGTGTCCACGCCGCCCGCCCGCCGGGTGACAACGTTACTCCTTCTACCTTTTAACAAGTGAAAAGTATGGAGATTCTCTGTGAGGTTCTGCAGTTAGAACGTTTTCCTGCTGTTTCTCAGAGGATTTATAGATGTTTATTAGTGATGACAATCTACAAATGTGTGCTTCATGAATGAGTTTCTGACTGAGTTATGATTCTGAGAGAGAAACAAACACCTGCACTGTGAGCTCAGGTTAAGTTTACCTTGTTGAACCACTCCGGGCTTTTCTTCTTGGCGAGCGCCAATGTGGAGCCGAATCCTGCGATCATCCCTGCGGACGCCACCGTAGTCAGAAATGCTGCACCTGCACACAGGAAGTGATCTCACTCAGGTGAGAAATCGCCACAAGTTCACAACCACTCCATTAAAGCAGACACAGGACATGCTTCTACATGTAGCTTCTCAAATGTAAACAGCAAAAAACCTTTAGGAGGAAGAGTTAGAGTGGCTAACAGGTGCCACTCTGAAGTTTCACCTTACAGTCTGAATCTTTTTGCACAGCTGCTGATGTACAGGGTGGGTCATTTATATGGATACATCGTAATAAATGGGAATGGTTGGTGATATTAAAGTCCTGTTTGTGGCACATTAGTATATGTGAGGGGGCAAACTCCTCAAGATGGGTGGTGACCATGGTGGCCATTTGGAAGTCGGCCACCTTGGATACAACTTTTGTTTTTTTCAATAGGAAGAGGGCCATGTGACACATCAAACTTATTGGTAATGTCACAAGAAAAACAATGGTGTGTTTGGTTTCAACGTAACTTTATTCTTTCATGAGTTATTTACAAGTTTCTGACCACTTATAAAATGTGTTCAATGTGCTGCCCATTGTGTTGGATTGTCAGTGCAACCCTCTTCTCCCACTCTTCACACACTGATAGCAACACCGCAGGAGAAATGCCAGCACAGCCATCCAGTATCCGTAGTTTCAGGTGCTGCACATCTCGTATCTTCACACCATAGACAATTGCCTTCAGATGACCCCAAAGATAAAAGTCTAAGGGGGTCAGATCAGGAGACCTTGGGGCCATTCAACTGGCTCACGACGACCAATCCACTTTCCAGGAAACTGTTCATCTAGGAATCCTCGGACCTGGCACCCATAATGTGGTGGTGCACCATCTTGCTGGAAAAACTCAGGGAACGTGCCAGCTTCAGTGCATAAAGAGGGAAAAACATCATCATGTAGCAATTTCAAATATCCAGTGGCCTTGAGGTTTCTATTGATGAAGAATGGACCCACTATTGTTGTACCCCATATACCACACCAAACCATCACTTTTGTTGTTCCAACAGTCTTGGAGGGATCCATCCAATGTGGGTTAGTGTCAGACCAATAGTGGTGGTTTTGTTTGTTAACTTCACCATTCACATAAAAGTTTGCCTCATCACTGAACAAAATCTTCTGCGTGAACTGAGGGTCCGGTTCCAATTTTTGTTTTGCCCATTCTGCAAATTCTGTGCGCCGATCTGGGTCATCCTCGCTGAGATGCTGCAGTAGATGGAGTTTGTAAGGGTGCCATTTGTGAGTAGCTAATATCTGCCAAAGGGATTTTCGACTAATGCTACTCTCCAGTGACATGCGGCGAGTGCTACGCTGTGGGCTCTTGCTGAGTGAAGCTAACTGTAGCATGGGAGATGGGTGGTCTCGTAGGGTGTCTTGCATTGAAATCTGCTGCAATGACTCGGTTACTGCGTTCACCAGATATCAACACAATTTCGATCTGCTCCTCACGTGTTAACCTCTTCGACATGTCAATGGCTGTGAACAAAAAGAAACTTGTAAATAACTCATGAAAGAATAAAGTTACGTTGAAACCAAGCACACCATTGTTTTTCTTGTGACATTACCAATAAGTTTGATGTGTCACATGGCCCTCTTCCTATTGAAAAAGCAAAAGTTGTATCCAAGATGGCCGACTTCTAAATGGCCACCATGGTCACCACCCATCTTGAGGAGTTTGCCCCCTCACATATACTAATGTGCCACAAACAGGACTTTAATATCACCAACCATTCCCATGTTATTACGGTGTATCCATATAAATGGCCCACCTTGTATTTCCGAAATCACAAGAACCTTAAATAGAACAGAGTTTGAATCGTGTTGGGTCTGTGTTTCCACAAACCCCGCTAATTCTAGACTTATTCATCATGAAGAAAACAAGACAGTCGATCGATCGATTATTTGCGCAAGGGAGGCCTCGTCTGTGTCCACCACGAAAATGACCCCCAGATCTGACCTCCTCCTGCTACCTTTTATTGAGAGACCGTTCACACAAAACACGTCAGAACAAAGCCACGCCCACATGGTCCTAAGACAAGGCATTTGTATGCATATGTGTGTGAACTTCTGTAAGAATGTGTGTGTGTGTGTGTGTGTGTGTGTGTGTTATGTGAGAATGTGTGTGTGTCAGACCTCCTGCTGACCAAAGGGTCGTAAACCCAGGAAGCCTACATCAAAAGAAACAGATCTTTCAGATAGGATGTATCTACAATTAAACTTTCCCCAGCACAGAGTGGTTGGAGAGGTGGTCAGGATCAAAGGAATGGCTTTGATCCTACTGCTTGAACTAAGACTGTAAAAATTTAACAAACACAATGGCTGATTGGGACCCACACCCAGTTTCACACCTTGGCTCAGGCGATTAGAGGATCATCAGGGGGTCCTTTTGTCCCTCTGTGGGGGGTCACTCCCACTAGGTTTATATCTGGGACTCTCCACCATTTGACCTTAGAACTGAAGAAGCTTCTCGGCTGAGAGGTGAAACGTCTTCAAGTAACTTCTTTAAGTTACTTGAAGACGTTTCACCTCTCATCCGAGAAGCTTCTTCAGTCCAGACGCCCTTCTTTACAAGCTCCTTTGACTACGATGACCTGGATGACTGAGAACCTTCACAGACTTAAAATAACTGTTTGTTCCAAAGAAAATTCATTAAACAGCCTGAGTAAAATAACTTTATAACATTTCTCAAATGCTCCTTTATAAAGACAACCCTTAAAATGCAATAGTTCTGAACTGAGTCTGGCGTCGTCTAGAAAAAGATATTATTTGCAGGAACACACGAGTCTCTGTCCTCGATGCTGGCGTTCCTGAAAACTGATGTTTTTTGAATGAGGTCTGGTGGCTTGCTGTGAATTCAAAACAACGACAACAATCCCTATCACATTTGTTCTGTGCAGAACTCTCAAAGCAAGTTCTTTATTTCTACAATTTTTAATTACAAGTACTAAAACACCAAAACTCGTGATACCCGAAGTTACTTTTCGATTAGACATTAAAATAATTTGACTTGAATTTGAGAACAAGTGTCTGATCTGCTGAAAGGGACTGAAGACGAAAATAATTTAGTAACTACATCAGAAATAACCAATCAACTCGACTTTTTTGTTTAGCGGAACTGAGCAGAAAACATTTAAGCTTCAGGAAAAAATGCTTTATCTTGTGTTTCTATGCGGCGGAATCCTTTAACAGCGAATCAAATCTGAAAATGTCCGATTTTTCAGCGGAGTCTGGCGCAGCAGCTCGACATTGTCGTGGCCTCGAACAGAAAAACATACAGCAGAAACCTACGAACACCTCCTGCCAGCGTGGACAGCAGTCCGGTCAGGTGACCCCCTCAGGTACCTTTTAACACCTGCAGTTTGGCCTCTTCATCTCGTTCTGCTCCCGCGGTCACATCCAGGTCTTCCTCAGCTGTCATGTTGCTTCGGTCCGTTTCCGTAAAACGTCCGAGCAGAAACAAAGCAGCTAGGAACACAAGTGTGTTTATGTTAAAGGAGAACACAGAATAAACTTAAATGTACAAATAGTACAACAGCTTTATTTTATGATTTTTTTAGTTTTTTTTTTTTTTTTCACAGAGCAAAGAACCACAGAGACGGAATCCCGAACCAAAGATCGTCTATTTTTAAAAAAGATTCGATGTCGGGCTCATACAGGAAGTCTCACTCCCAAACATTTTAAAGGACACAAAAAGGAATCTGTAGTCCGGATATGATTCTGATACAGCGACCACAATCCTGAGACTGTGCAACACCTCTTCTGGATCTGTTCATACGCTAGAACATTTTGGAAAGACTTCAGTAGATTCATTGCTGGACATCTCTATAAAGACTTTACTGTGAAATGAGAAAATGTTGTATTTTGTTTCTTTTGAAGGCAAAAAAAGAAGATGTTTACTTTCTAATAAACTTGTTAGTTATCTTAGCTAAATTTTATTTTCACAAATGCAAATACAGTAACAAAAAGCCTAATTTTAAACATTACTATAATGATGTTTTATGTTACATAAAATTGATTAGTGGATCACTTAACAAAAAGGCTATGAAAACTATTACTATTTGTAGTAATTACCAATTATTTGAATGTTTGTAATTCTTTGTATTACACCCCCTGGTATATGTTAATTTTGTTCTGGTTGTACACATGTTCTGTATACTATTTCTTAATAAAGTTTAATATTTAAAAGAAAATGTGCATGTTAGCATATGCTACTTCCGGTGCGGAAACTCCTGTGGGGAGCTTTGTTTCCGGTGTCCTATTCGTGCCCTGTTTACGGTCCAAAACAAGTTAAGCAAATGAATGAATCAAGCGGCAATTTACATTTCTATAGATGTCTCGGGCATTTACCCAATATATCTGTAAATGATGTTCATCGACTTGTCGATATTTTCCCCCCGCGCCTCAGAGCAAAAGAGAAAAGGGATTCAAATGTTATATTTCTCAGCTGTCCCTCGTTTATCACGGGTGTTATGTTCTAAAAATAACCAGCGATAGGTGAAATCAAGTAGCCAATTTTATTTTTTGTGGTGCAAAACGTTTCGTCCTTATCGTGAGCATACAGTACTGCACTTCAGAGTCACACTGCTAGCGATCGATGCAGCGATTCTGTACTGTACAGGAGAGACGTCACGGAGGAGATTGTCTGCAGCAATCGGGACGCAGGACACAATGTGATGTAAAAAAAAAAAAGCATGCAAACTTGCACTGAAAATTCTGCGAAACAGTGAGGTGAAAGGTGAACCGCGTCATAGCGGGGGACCGCTGTAATTTTGAAGGTAAGTCACAAAATACCCTTTGTAAATACTAATGTATAGAAACCGTTACCAGCAATCATTCATTTTTTGTGTGGCTTTTTTCACGGTTTGTTGACATGCTGTGTAGGTGTGTACTTGACTAGCTGATCTCGACATAACGGGAAACATCTGGTTTGACTATTCTTCACCTGTAGTTTGAATGCTGAACATTTGCCTGTTTAAATCATAAGACCAGTCACTATACAGAGATGTGCTTCTGAATGTGGACGATGTGTCTTCTGCATGTAGTGATGCAGTTCTGCTTGTGTTGAGTGATGTAAACAACTAATCGATCTAAATGCTTTAAACGTTAAAATTGATCATTAGATATTTTATGACACAACACTGGTGAGTGTTCCCACCTTCTGCTCTTTGTAACTTAACACGATCTTTCCGTTTTCAAATTTTTTTGAACATGATTTTGGGGTATATCTTCGCAGTAGCGATTGACCGCAAAGTAAAGCTACCGGAAATGTACAACCCCACATCCGGTCTCAAACCAGGAAGTTAGCATTTTCTCGTGCATAGGGTCTATTAAGCGACCACTTTCAGTTACTTTCAGAAATCGCGAACCCGGAAATACGAATGATACTCATAGAAACTCACCAGTCAGCGTTTAAGTAACATGAAAGACAAAGCCCAGAGAGTACAGTAGAACAATGATTAATTATTATTAATTATCGAGGGCTCGCTAAATCCTCTGCTTTGTCTGCGAGGTGAACCTCCTCCGTGTTTATTCTCCTGTCAGAGTGGATCACCACCTCAGTGGAGGATCTGTGCAGCTCTGCGGAGGATCGGGATGCTCTCCATGTCCTCCTCCTCCTCCTGCTGCTGCTCCTCTTCCTCCTCCTCCTCGCAGACTCAGACCATTCAACACCCTGGATCCTCTCCCGTCCTCAGACCCGGACCCGCGTCCTTAACCCGGGATTTAAACCTGGACTGCAGCCTGTGAGGGGCAGATCAGGGTGCGAGGCGGGGGAGCTGGGGGAGCTTCTTGGACGTGGATCCAGCGCGCGTGCGTCTGACCACGAGTTCGTGTTTGTTTATAAAATAACGCGAAACAAAAAACGTGTTTCCTTTTAAGATGACGGATCCGTTGTCTTTTTTCCGACTCCTTATTAAAAGATTCACGCGGAGACCCTGAACGCGGCACCGGCAGCGCGCGTACACCTCCGGTTTATGTTTCAGTCTTTTGTACCTGCGCGCTCACCTGTGTGGACGCATGTCTCAGATCCAGCACGCGGCTCTGGACCAGCAGGGCCGGTACAACCAGATCTGCACCCGTGGCGGCAGCTGCCCGCCCCCCGCAGACGGTTCCGAGCCGGCCCACTGCCCCGGCCACAGGAGCCGGAGTCCCCGCAAGAAGTGGCAGGTGTTCCCAGGCAGGAACAGGTTCTACTGCGACGGCAGGATCATGATGGCCCGGCAGACCGGGGTCTTCTACCTGACCCTGGTCCTCATCCTGCTCACCTGCGGCCTCTTCTTTACCTTTGAGTGAGTAACAGCAGCTTATAGTCTAACGTGTAAAGGTTTGAAGGTGACCTTTGACCCCAGCTGAAGGCCCCTGTGAGGTCACAGAAATAAAAAGGCCCTAAAATAAAACTTCAAATATCCGGTTAAGAGTTTCAGGGAGGATTATATTTTGTTCCTGAATGACTAAAAAGAACTAAAATAAACAGATCAGAGTCATCAATCTGGGATTAAATTCACATTTTCTAAGTTAATTTCAGCACTTCCTAATAATTTTAATAATTTAATGTTCTGTTTTCAATAATTTCACCAAAGTAGTTCGGAAAGATTAAAGTCTAATGTATCGTTGTGGGAGGAATGTTCTTTTATTTTGAAGCCATCATTCTGGTGCTTTTATTTTTTTGTCCAGCTTGGTGAAGAAGAGCAGCAGTTTTGTCTCTGAGCTCAGGTGTGTTTACCTAGATCAGGCTGAAGTCATCTTCAGTTTCTTCCTGATGTTAGAACTCATGAAAGCTAAAAGGAGACACCGAATCCTACTGACTGTTAATCTGAAAACACTGAAAAGGGCTTTGAGTCTTTCACTCTTTGACTCTTTGATGCTTTGGGTCTTTGCCCTGTGTGTCTGATTTTGTTGGGTTTTGTGTAAAAACAGTGAACAGGTTCAGCTTCAGCTCATAATAAATTATTTTTTAGTAGAAAATGAGAGTCAAACTAAATGAAGCGGTGCTGTAATAAATCCTCCTTCAGGTTAGTTCCTTGGTTCATGCAGAGCTAATTATCCCGGGTTTTACCTCCGACCTGATTTAATAACAGTGTGAATAAAAAAGAAAAGAAAGTAGCCCTCAGGGACGTCTGGAGGGTTAATTTTATTTTATTTTTCTTCCTCCCACATTCCTCTTGGTGACTTCCCTTCAACAGCATCCCCGTGCTTCCCGTTTCCACGGTAACTGTCTCCTGCAGCTCATGTCACTACGGTAACAGCAGGAGATGGAATGGGGGTGGGAGGTGGGGGGGTTGTAAACCTGAGACGTCTCTGACGCCTCCGCCAAAGACTCAAAGTACCAGTGAAGAAAGAAAAAGCTTGGTGAGAGTAACATGAATTTAAAAACATATAAACCTAAAGAAGTCTGCAAACCAGATTCAAGGCTGATAGGCAGTATAGATACGCATGCACTGATATGTTACCATATAAAGTACACCGAGACTAAATTTCCTAAATGATCTGAAATGTAAAAAGTGAAGAAAAAAACAAATTATTTTTGGGGCTCTTCTACAGGGAGTGCAGAATTATTAGGCAAATGAGTATTTTGTCCACATCATCCTCTTCATGCATGTTGTCTTACTCCAAGCTGTATAGGCTCGAAAGCCTACTACCAATTAAGCATATTAGGTGATGTGCATCTCTGTAATGAGAAGGGGTGTGGTCTAATGACATCAACACCCTATATCAGGTGTGCATAATTATTAGGCAACATCCTTTCCTTTGGCAAAAAGAAGGACTTGACAGGCTCAGAAAAGTCAAAAACAGTGAGATATCTTGCAGAGGGATGCAGCAGTCTCAAAATTGCAAAGCTTCTGAAGCGTGATCATCGAACAATCAAGAGTTTCATTCAAAATAGTCAACAGGGTCGCAAGAAGCGTGTGGAAAAACCAAGGCGCCACATAACTGCCCATGAACTGAGAAAAGTCAAGCGTGCAGCTGCCAAGATGCCACTTGCCACCAGTTTGGCCATATTTCAGAGCTGCAACATCACTGGAGTGCCCAAAAGCACAAGGTGTGCAATACTCAGAGACATGGCCAAGGTAAGAAAGGCTGAAAGACGACCACCACTGAACAAGACACACAAGCTGAAACGTCAAGACTGGGCCAAGAAATATCTCAAGACTGGTTTTTCTAAGGTTTTATGGACTGATGAAATGAGAGTGAGTCTTGATGGGCCAGATGGATGGGCCCGTGGCTGGATTGGTAAAGGGCAGAGAGCTCCAGTCCGACTCAGACGCCAGCAAGGTGGAGGTGGAGTACTGGTTTGGGCTGGTATCATCAAAGATGAGCTTGTGGGGCCTTTTCGGGTTGAGGATGGAGTCAAGCTCAACTCCCAGTCCTACTGCCAGTTTCTGGAAGACACCTTCTTCAAGCAGTGGTACAGGAAGAAGTCTGCATCCTTCAAGAAAAACATGATTTTCATGCCGGACAATGCTCTATCACACGCGTCCAAGTACTCCACAGCGTGGCTGGCAAGAAAGGGTATAAAAGAAGAAAAACTAATGGTAAATGGTAAATGGCCTGCATTTGTATAGCGCTTTTCTAGTCCATAGGACCCCAAAGCGCTTTACACTACATTCAGTCATTCACCCATTCACACACACATTCACACACTGGCGATAGCAAGCTACATTGTAGCCACAGCTGCCCTGGGGCGCACTGACAGAGGCGATGACATGGCCTCCTTGTTCACCTGATCTGAACCCCATTGAGAACCTGTGGTCCATCATCAAATGTGAGATTTACAAGGAGGGAAAACAGTACACCTCTCTGAACAGTGTCTGGGAGGCTGTGGTTGCTGCTGCACGCAATGTTGATGGTGAACAGATCAAAACACTGACAGAATCCATGGATGGCAGGCTTTTGAGTGTCCTTGCAAGGAAAGGTGGCTATATTGGTCGCTGATTTGTTTTTGTTTTGTTTTTGAATGTCAGAAATGTATATTTGTGAATGTGGAGATGTTATATTGGTGTCACTGGTAAAAATAAATAATTGAAATGGGTATATATTTGTTTTTTGTTAAGTTGCCTAATAATTATGCACAGTAATAGTCACCTGCACACACAGATATCCCCCTAAAATAGCTAAAACTAAAAACTACTTCCAAAAACATTCAGCTTTGATATTAATGAGTTTTTTGGGTTCATTGAGAACATGGTTGTTGTTCAATAATAAAATTATTCCTCAAAAATACAACTTGCCTAATAATTCTCCACTGCCTGTAGACTAGATTCTCTTTATAATCCTTTATTTTAAACATGAACCCTCAGCCCCCAGTCTGTAACCCAATGAGTAAAATATATGTAATAAATCATTCATGTCACTTTTGTTCACTGTGTTTGGTTCAGTACTAAAGTACATATACTAGTGTTAAAAATACTGCAGTAAAAGTTGAAGTACTGATTCAACTTCTTTACTCGAGTAAAAGTAAAAAGTACTGGCTCTGAAATGTACTTAGAGTAAGAAAAAAAGCAGCTCTTTGGAAGGCGTTTCTGTTTTTGGAAAAAGCTAACAGCTTTGTGTTATAATAATGTACTAATAAAATAGTATCAGTAGATGGGAATACAAACTTTACTTTAACTTGTGATGCTAATTACACTCAGCTTAAATCTGCAGAAAAGAAAAGTAAAATAGAGATATTTATGTTTTCTAGTGCCTCCACTGTAGAGGGGGACTTTACCTCTAAACAGGAAAATGTGTACATTCATGGGTTAAAGTGGATTCAGCAGGTGGGGTGTGTGTGTGTGTGTGTGTGTGTGTGTGTGTGTGTGTGTGTGTGTGTGTGTGTGTGTGTGTGTGTGCGTGTGTTTTTGTAGTGTACAGGCTGTGATCACCTGACCTGCTTCTCTTTGTGGATGTACACACCAGAATTCAAACAGATGTGAGCAGATGTTTCCTGAGTTGTCCTACTCTGACAGTACACTGTTTGTACTGTCTTTATATTAGACACTATACAACCATCATCAACTGAAATTCATATGAATCTCTGCTACACTTGATATAAGCTAACTGTGACCATGAAACCATGCACCAGTCACACACTGTTCTTTACTGTAAATCCACCACAGTGCAGCAAACTAACCTGATTTTCATGCAGCCTTTAAATAACACAGTCTGCCTCAGTTTGTCACATGTCACATGTACAGATTTAAAAACACGAGGACTTACATGTGAGCTGTAAATGAGCAGTCCTTCCCTTTAAATCTAAGCGCTCTTCTTCCTCTCCTGTCCTGTCTTTCTTATCTTTCTCCATCTCTGAGTGAAGCTCTCTTTCTTTTCTCTCCCTGTAAAATACAGCAGCTGGATCTTTACCTAGCAACACACTGTGTCAGATTACCTGACACCTAAAAAAACGTTACTCCCTTTATGGTCACTCCTCTTCTGCAGCACTAGCTAGATGCTGAAGTACCGGGAACACAACTTACCTGTAGTCATTTCAAACAGAAAATTGATCCTCTGCTTTTTAATATTTACATTTTTCACCTATTTAAGAATAAATCAATCATCTGAATAATGTAGATTACATCCATGACTGATTCTAATAGTTGCAAAGTTTCCTGTTGTGCTGTGGTGTTGCAGAGTACAGGGACTGTTTGTATAAAAAAGGAAAATTAGTTTTTCCTCCAGTTCATCCTTCAGAACTTTATTCTTCTCCACCAGGAAGAAGCTTCGTCCCCAGCTGTAGAAACTCTTACATCAGTTTAGAGGAAAACTGTCTCATGGGATCCATTTTTGGGCTACAGCCCATTTCTTCTATCTCCTCACCAGCTAGCCTCAGTTAGTTAGCTTAAACTGCTAACAGACTATAACAAAAGCACCGAGTCTCTGTAGTAACTGAGAAGCTTCAGCAGAGCAGCATATGTTGTTTTTATCAATATATTTGAAACATTTATTAAACACTTTATTGGACAAAATAAGAGTATCTTTCCTCCCTTCCAGTATCACAGTGTACTGATTCATGTCATGATCCATGTCACCAGACTGTGGCCAAAACAAAATCCAGCTGATACCCACATTTACCTTCCTGAATGACCCAGAAGCCCCAATTCCACAGAGTCTGTGAAATACTAATGGCACGACCATTTTCACTCAATTTAAAAAACACCAGAAATGTGATTTAAAACCGTTTCTGTCCTCGAAGCTAAAAAACGAAGAAGAGACAGAAAAGCCTCCTGAAGTGTCCTGAAGAACTCACATTTGTTCTCATGTTTCTCTCCGTGTTTCCTCAGCTGTCCTTTCCTGGCGTCCAACCTGACCCCGGCCATCCCGGCGGTCGGCGGCGTTCTCTTCATCTTCGTGATGGGGATGCTGTTCAGGGCAAGTTTCAGCGACCCCGGCATTTTACCCCGAGCGACACCAGACGAGGCCGCCGACCTTGAGCGACAGATTGGTGAGCAAAGAGCGACGGGCGTTACGAGACGTTAGAAACATGGTCGTTATATGTTCATGTTCCTCTGCAACACTCACAAGTCTGATTTAATAAACATTTAACAGTTTCTGACAGAAAAAACAGAATTCATACAAAAACTGTAGATTTGTTTAAAGTTTGCTAACAGGTTTTTCCTGAACCTTTCCCAGCATAAAGTTACAGGAAAGAAAAAATGTTAAAGATTATAAGAAGACAAATTAATGGATGAAAATCTGAAAGAAATTTTCTGTAAAAGACACAAAAAAAATTTGTATTAAAATATTTTTAGAAAGTGACCTTGATGCAGAGGTTTAGTTGCTGCTCGCTCGCTTTCTCACATGTTTCTGTGAAGATCAATCAGAAACATTCGATAAGTTTTACAGTTTATGGTAACTTAATGAGGCATACGTGAACAGTCTGTATTTTCAGTCCTCATCTTTGTTACTTGTGCAGTCCTCTGTGGTGTGCAGCCTCTGGGCCAAATCCTGATTGATGGAGATCCCGCCTCATCATTAAAAGGACTGATCACAGACTCTCGATAGGATTAAAATCTGGGCATTTTACTGGCTGTGAATCCAAACTGCTGATTTGATGATCTCCTCTCAGTGATGTCTTTGGCCGATTCTCAGACTATCACCAGACAGCTCCTGGATGATGGAACGAGCTGGTGTTTGAGGACATTTTTAGTTTGGTTCATCCATAAAAAAGCTGGTGAGCTGAAAACAAAATAAAAGTCGGCACCCTTTCAAAGTAAAATGCTTGGATTAGATAAAGGTGAATGTGCCGAGTCACTTCATCACAGTTCTCATGATTATAATGAGAACTTCACAGGTTCAGCGTCTGTCAGACTCACTAATTATCTGAGTCACTGCAGGTCTGTGTGTGTGTGTGTGTGTGTGTGTGTGTGTGTGTGTGTTGTGTGTGTGTGTGTGTGTGTGTGTGTGTGTGTGTGTGTGCGCTCAGTCACATGTCTCCACTCTCGTCTCTGTCTCAGGCGTTTCCACAGAAACTGAAGCTCTTGTATATTTTTAGAAGCCTTTTATTAAATTTTCTGGGTTGATTTATTTACTTTTTTCCTTCATGCTGGATCCAGAATCTGCTGCCGGTCAGCATGCCGCCGCTGTGCTCGCAGAACGACCAAACTTAGGCATCGCCTGCAAAACTCGCTCAGCTCAGTGTGTGAGAAATATGAGAGAAGGATGGAAATAGAAAGAGAGGTCAGGAGTGTTTTCTGTGACGCACAACTTAAAACAACATCCTAACATCATTTTTCAGGAAAAAAACCAAAGGTGAAGTCTTTAAAATTTTACAATATGAAAAATAAAAAGGTGAATTTAACAACTGTTTACAGAGACGGCGTTGATCTTTAAACCCTTTTAGACACTTTTAGCTCCTGGTTTTTGGTTTTCTGGCACATTTACAGGAACATCACAGAAAATCATTTAAAAAACACTTAAAGGCATTTCATAATTTTGTATAATTTTATGTGTGTGTTGCTGCACAGCTGTCTTTGTGGAGACTTGTGTTTGGTTCAGTCTCTATGAGGACATTTCTGGAAGGCAGGGATATTTTTTGGAAATTCAGAATTATTTTTTAACTTTTGCTTTATGGAGAAAGACAGTTGCATCGTCAAAAGTGGGCCCATTTCTGAGAGGAACGTGTTTGTTTTTGTTTTTTTGCATAAAATGGGGCCATTTTCTTCGAAATTCCCAGGCAGGGCCACAGGCTGGTCCCAGTGAGGGTTGCTTCAGGAAAGCCATTCAGCATAAAATCTTTGCCAAATCAAACATGTGCGTCATCAGTAAGAGCGACCACTGCTGCCCAGTTAGGACACTGGTTTGGAAAACGAGGGCATTAAGTGAGATCCTCACTTTGGGACAGACTTTTAACAGTCTGTTTGAAGGCTCCCACACTCGTTTCTGTCGCACACTGTTCAGGTCCTGTTAACAAAGCACCAAATCACAGTAGCAGTCGTCTCAAAGTGTTTTATATTGAAGGTAAAGGCCCTACAATATACAGAGGAAAGCCCCACGATCAGACGACTCCCTTTGAGCGAGCACTTGGTGACAGTGGGAAGGAAAAACTTCCATTAAGGTCTCGGGAATGTATTAAACTAATGAGAATCCCCACAAAGGCCCAAATACATTCCTGTGTGAGTGAAATCAGCTGATTTTATCTTAGAAAGAAGAACAAAACTCCAGATTTACTGAAAAAGAAAATAAAAATAATTCTGTTCTGAATCTGAAAGGTCAGGGCGAAATGTCACGGGCTGCCTCTCTGTACGGGGTCGTCACATTACCCATCTGCTGCGCGCTTTCAGACTCTGCAGGATGCTCCAGGCCGCCTCCTCGGACCCGAGAGGTTCTCATCAACGGGCAGGCGGTCAAGCTGAAATACTGCTTCACCTGCAAGATCTTCAGGCCGCCCCGAGCATCGCACTGCAGCCTGTGCGACAACTGTGTGGGTCAGTGCGTGTCTCCCTGTGTGTCACAGCCTTAGCTCAGTGCTAAAGCTGCTGGCTGTGCTGCTTGATTCCAGCTTTAAATTAAACATGAGATCAGACTTTCTGATGTTTTTCCTCCCACAGAGCGCTTCGACCATCACTGTCCGTGGGTGGGGAACTGCGTCGGGCGGAGGAATTATCGCTTTTTCTACCTGTTTATCCTCTCCCTGTCCCTCCTCACTGTCTTCATCTTCGCCTTCGTCATCACACACGTCATCCTCAGTGAGTAACGGCACCGCCCCCGCACACATTTTCCTCTGTGGTCTCTACATCGACCGTAGTTCTGTTAGTTAGGTTAATGTTCTGCAGAGATTCGTGCATGTTTGCGCTCAGACGACATAAAAACTTTATTTATAGAAGCTCCTCTGATACTTTTTGGCAGGAAGTAAAAACTGAGAAAATATTTCAAAGAAAAAAGGAGAAGAAGCAGAAACGTGGACGAAATAAAGACTCTGATCAAACCAAAGCAAAGTTCTTTTTAGAGACGATCCTGGTGACCAAGTGAAACCGAAGAAAACCATCAGACAGGAAAGTAATCATCATTCTCCACAGTAAATAAAATAAAATATCTGGGCACACGGTTTTGTTGTTGTGCTGACGATGACAGGATATGCAGAGCTATCAGGAAGTGTTCAGGAAGAGGTCAGTTGACCAGCGAGCGCTGTGTCTCTGCAACGGTTTCTAATCTGTGTAATGTAACTCACCCATCAGTGACCTTCAGCCCCACCCACTGTCCTGTGATTGACAGGCTGATCAATGCGAGTCAGACAGACTGGGCCAGTTTTTTATGCTCAGAAAGCTGCAGATCAAAGTCCTGTTGGAAGAAACTCACCAGCTGATTTAAACGTTTCCTCACTTTGACCCAAAGGTCGTTCTTCTCTTTGCCGTCTCTGTTTCTGGCTCGTATAGACTCAAACAGTCTGAATAGGTTCAGTCGTCTCATCATAGGTTCATTCTCGTTGGTCCCTCTTGTCTCACTCCGGGTCCTCAGGTTAGTGCCAGTCTTTGTTTGGTCGTGACTTTGATTCTGGCCTTGCAGGAGTTCTCGGACTTGTTTCAGTGTTGTGGGTCTCGTGTTGGTTTTGTGAGTCTTTAAATTAAGATTAGTCCAGATCTTAATTGTGATTTTCCTTGTTTGAATCTTGCCTGGTGGTCTTTTTGCTGTGGGTGTTTCTCAGGCTAAGCTTCATCCCTGTTTGACGACAAAGATGTTTGATTGTGAAACCATGTTTGTGGAATTCTCTTCTTTCCTGTTTTTGTGGAAATCCACATAAACTGGTTGCTGCCTGGGAGGAACTGTAGCACAGATCATTGACTTTGTGTTTCTGGATCTAAAAGCGCCTGCTGATTTCTCTCTGTCTCTGACCTAATTTTGCACTTAGGCTGCGGATGTTTTTTTCCTGCCCTGCATGTCCAAACCGTCAGGAACCCGAAGCCTCGAGCTGCCGCCGTCTGAAACTAATGACTGGCAGACTGGCTGAGATGAAGACGCAGCTTCCTCTGAGGGCTGCGCCGCTGGTTTTCTGTTTTTGGCTGTTGTGACTTTGATATAAATGCAGGGAGCTGTGACATCAGCCATCTGTTTTCAGCAGTTTACATCTTTAAGATGACGACCGAATAAGCAGTTGTTGCCTATCCTCACTGACGCACCCAAACATAAATGCACTATACACAGGAAAACAGAGGGTTGGTTGACACCAAGGCAGAGGAAGATCCGCAGCAGCAACTGAGCCCAGAAATGTATTCATGTGGACGTAGAAAATAAAGACACGTAGATGTTTCTACCTGGTCACATTGAAACAGAGCATTCAGTCGGGCTCTGTTTCAGGGCTCTTTAATGATTGGATGCTGTAATGTTCTTTATAATGAGAGCAAGACTGTAGGCAGTGAGGACTGAACACTTCAGCCCAGATGATGGTTTTCTCTCTCTGTGTTCTGCAGGATCGAACCAGACGGGTTTCCTGGGCGCGCTCAAAGACAGCCCAGCCAGATATCCTTCCCCATGGACAGTTTCAGCTCCTTTTTATTCTGAAAACAACTTTCAATTGTTCACATGCAAAATATTCCTCCTTCTTCTTTACTCCATCTTGGTGCAGCCCTTCAGACCATCCTCTGTCTGAAACAAGCTGTTGTAGCTCCTCCCCTGACAGCCCACTCTCTACTAGCCTCTGGAAGCCTGTTGAGGGGCAGCACTCGGTGCTTTTCCATTGTAAGTGTGTAAGGAGCTGATGGAGGACACATTCAGATATTTTCATAGAAAAATAAAAACAGGTTCCATTTGAAGACTGTGAACTTAAACATGCCTCGTATTACAGGAAGGTTTGGACGCACTCGTACTCTTTAGTCATTTTACATTTTCCATAAATGATTGCAAGCATTTAGTTTTGGTTCTGTAATATCAGCACAGTCATGGCCACGTTCACCTCCTCAAGCATCTACAGTCTGATTCATTTGGTGCGCAGCCATAAAGACACCAGCCGGTCCTCCATCACTGACGTGCATTACATTTAACATCAGGTTAGTTTGTGTTTCTTACAGTAATTGTTCTTCCGGCTTCTCAGTTGTGATTTTCCAGTTTTGTTGGAGAAATAAAGAGTAGAGTCTGCCTGCAGCCGCCACAGAAAATCAAACCCGGGCGTTAATTACCCCTCATACGGCTTCCTTCCAAAATCAATCCGTCTGTTGCTGTCACCATCAGCTGTGACCACTGGTCAATATGTCCCACAATGTACTGCCAAGGTCAAATTCGCTGACCCTGTCACACCAGAAACAGTAAATCTTCTGTTTCTGCCATTTTCAGTTTTACTGCAAATAAAATCACTTCAGTTCGTTAATGCAGACGCACAGAAATCCTCCCGTAGCGCCACTTTATCCCCCATCCAAAGACCCGAGTCAGTCCTTGACCCTGCTCTGCACCGTCCTGGAGGTGGTGGTGTGTTTCTTCTCCATTTGGTCCATTGTCGGCCTGTCAGGCTTCCACACCTACCTGATCAGCTCCAACCAGACCACCAACGAGGACGTGAGTATACCTGAGGTTCGAGGACCTAAACGTGAAAAGGGCCTGCAATGTTTCTGATACTCTTGTCTGGTCCAGATTAAAGGGTCCTGGTCCACCAAACGAGGGAAGGATAACTACAACCCGTACAGCTACGGGAACATCCTGACCAACTGCTGTGCTGCCCTCTGTGGACCTCTACCTCCCAGGTCAGTAACCAGCTCTAAAAACAGGACTAGACTCTGTGCTTATAATCAGGACTAAAACCAGGAATACAGAGAGTTATGTGCAGGGCTAAAGGAGATTAAATGAAGAATTGAGAGTAGGAGTAACTCTGGGCTGCTCTGAGGTGAAACTGATCAAAGTCTGAAATCCAGCATGAGCTCTGCACTGATCACTGAAGGTGTTACTAAAATCAGGACCGACTGATAGTTTTCAGGAATACATGAAATGAATCCCGGTCTAAGAAGGATTAAATAGATCAGGATTATAAAAGACTTAAGTGCACTGACATTAGTCCTAAAACAGGGCTCAAATTTAGACTACAGTTAGGACTAAAAACAGGATTAACATTTGAACTAAAATCAGCACTGAAACCATGACTAAATTAAGCACCAAGCTTAGAACTAAAGTCAGGACTAAAGAGAGTTCTTCAGGACTTTACTTTGAGCTAAAATTGGGAATAAAAAATCTGGAGTACTTGCATTGTATTTAGAAATGACCTGTAATCACTGTAATCTGTGCTTAAAGCTGAACTGAGGTCAGGATTGAAATGACTTCAGTAATAAACAAACAGCCGTGTTGTTGGATTCGATGGCTGGAGCTTTGCAGCCTCAGTTGTTTGTTCCTGGAAGTCGGAGCTCCGAGAAACAAACAAGCTTTCTTTCTTGGTTTACGCCTGAAAACTTTGCCTTGCTGCTCTGCTGAAGCTGCTGATGTTCGCTCTGCTGGTCTCTGAACATAAAGGTGCTTCAGGCGGTCTCTCTTCTTCCCCCTCCTCTCCGCAGACGCCAAGTTTCTGTGTTTAACGAGGACAGTCTTCAGCTGAGACCTTGCACAGAGTAATTACAGCCCTCACGGCTTCCCGTCTCTCAGCTGACTGTCGGCTCGTCTTCTGCACAGAATTAATCAAAAGAACGATCAGAGCGGCCGAGCGATGGCTCTCCTTCATCGTTACCGCCTCCTCGCCGCTTCCATGAGCTCCTATGTTTCCATCCCACCTGCCGTATATCATCATTACAGCGGGAGACCTGGGCTGGGACTCTGCGACACGCTGCTGATACTTTTTATCGGTTTGTCAAAGCAGCTGATCGATGACGCCTTGCTCAGCACAAAGTTAAGCTTTGGTTTCTAACTAAGCGCAGGAACAGACACAGACTGCATCCCAGTGCTTTTAATTATCTGATATATACTGCATACTCGCCTTCTTTTATTCTCTGTGCTGTTGATCATTTCACCTCTGGTCAATGAGCTTCTATTGACTTCAGGGCTAACATCAGGTCTGTCTGCTGTGAATTTAAAGCTAAACAATCAAAAAACAGGATTAAGAGATTAAATAATCTGAACAGAATCAAACTGATTCCGGACTAAAGTTGGAACTAAAAGTAGAAATCATTTAACATTAGCTCAGGACTGCATTCATCACTGGAGCTAAAGCCAAACAGAATAAACTAATCAGGGTTACAGTCAGGAATGCTAGTACCTGACTTCAGCACTTAGCAGGACTAAGATCTGATTTGTGGTCTAAATGAAATAAATGAACCGGTGAAATCAGGACTAAGTCAGGCCTGCAGAGCACTCTTCAGAGAATTTTTGCAGTAAGCCCCAAAAGACACGACGGTTAGCACTAAAATCACTCATCCTTTGAACAGGATTGCATTAATATCCTAATTCAGGACTAATCCATACAGAGAGCAGCAAACAGTTAGTCCAACACAGAATTAGATAAAAGAAAAAAATTAAGCCGAGCAGCAGAAAGTATCTGTGTGCAGCTTGAGTGATCAGATCCCTGCAATGTGCACGGACTGTAAATTTCATTCTTCAGGAGCTCTCAAAGGAAACGTTGATCGGCCGGCCAGAAGCTTTTCTTGTCTCTCAGTCGCTCTGTGATCCGGCTGCTTTTAAAAAAATGACTGTTTGTTTTTGCAAATGAAATTTCTTTTGTTGTCGTTATCTTTGTGAATGTTTTTGAAATTATCTCCAGGAAAAATGTTTTGTAATATTTTCACATTTTTTCAGGTTTTTCAGGTTTGATCGTTGATCCGGCTCACTGAAGGACGCCTCTTATTTAATAAACATCGTTTATTGAATGAATCCAACTGAAAAGAGTCTCGAGTGTTTTAAACAGTCAGTGAAGAATGTTGTGTAGAGAAGTGTTGGTGTTTGCAGCCCGGTGCCTCTGTGGAGATTCAGTTAAAGAGAAAACTGTGAAAAGAAACAGTGACGAAGGGTTTTCCTCTGTGTCCGTGTTGTTTCGTCCTCTGAGGTCACAGACGGAGGAGACGAGGCTCTGATGATGCGTCCAGACGGGTCAGCAGGAGCTCTCTGACGAGGCACCAGCTTTAATATTAATATTAATAATGATGATGGTGTGTAACAGCGAGCTGCCTCTGGGAGGATATGCAAGGAGGATTTTCAAAGTAAAAGGATGATGAGCATATGGAGCCTCATTATACAGTCTGCTTGTTTACTCATGGCTGGCTGCTCGCAGCGTTTGAACATGTCGACTCCACCTGCTTACAGGGCGACAGGTGGCGGCGTCCATCTGCATGCTCACAAACACAAAAACACACGTTTCAGGTCAAACTCACTTTTCCTGCAGCAACAGACTGATTTATTTAGCTGAATCTCCCAGGATATTACTTGATCCTGAAGCCAGTTTTGGCCCCCAGGAGGGCGGGGATGTGCGTTTCTGGCCAGGCTGAACTGATCCCCTGGTCTCTTTACTGGTTTTGATTTCCTCAGAATGTGATTGTTTGTGATTCTTCTTTATCAGTCTGATTGACAGGAGAGGTCTGATCCAGTCCGGCACGCCGCAGACCGTCTCCCAGTCCAATGGCACCAGCAACAGCAGCTATGCCTCCACTCAGCTCCACAGCAACATGGTAGGTGAAGGACGCCGTCATACTGCCCGTTACTGATGCGTCACAGAGAAAAATCATCATAAGGATCTGAAACGCACGTATTCAAAACTGTTTGAATGTAGA